CAAAAAAAAGCAAATTGAGCGTTATAACAAAAAAAAAAAAAACACACACCCACCCCAATAATGATGGTTTTGAATTACATTTTAAAAAAAGACCCCACATTTTTTTTTTCCATTATTTAAAAATGTGAAATGTGGATAGTAACACAAAGGGTGTATTTTAAATTTTATTATTAATTTTATTATCATTATTATGGTGTGTGAAAATAAAATGCAAAAGAAAAAATTAAAATATATTATTGTTTGTGTGTATAAAGTTTTTTTTTTTTTTTGTGATTTAATGTGATAGTGTTGTTATCTATATTTATATAATACTATCCCCAAACACTTATAGAAGTTGTGTGTGGTTAAGTGAGTATAGGTGTATGTGTTTGCATGGTAGTTAATATTTAAAGAAATTGGTAATTTAAAAAAAAAAAAAAAAAAAAAAAAATAGAATATAGAATTATTAACAAAAAATATTTTGACAATAAATATATTATAAGAAAGGAGTTATTTTTAAATCAATCATTTATTATAAATTTACATATTACAAAAAGTGTAGTGAACTTTAAATTTATAATCAAACAAAAAAAAAAATTATTTTTAACTTACGTAATAAGTGTGATAAATAAATGTTTGATAAAATGATTAACTGATTATAATTAATAATAAATCTATTGATTTAGTTTATTAGTTTTATAAATCAGAAGAAATTAAAAAAATAAAATAAAAAAAAACAATTAATATAAATATTATATAAATATAAACTTTTAATAATAAAAATAAAATGGTAATAAAAATATAATAATAATAATAATTATAATATTTTAATCAATCTTGATTAATTTTATTAATTAAAAAAATAAATAAACAAAAAAGAAAAAAAAAAAAAAAAAAAAGCAAGTTTCTATATTATTATTTCTTTATTTATATTTTTAACATATAAAATATTTATATTAATGGTAGTAATAAATAAATCTAAACATAAATAGAAATTTACATTGAAACGGGGTGTGTTAAAAAAGATAAAAATAATAATATACTGATATCAAAAAAAAATAAAAAATAAAAAACAAAAAGAAAAAAAAAAATGAAAAAAATTAACAAAAAATAAAAATAATAATAATTTAAAATTAAAATTAAAAATAAATTAAAAAATGAATTAAATAATTAAATTAAGAAAATTAATATATATTTGATTTTTATTTAATATTATTATTATTATTATTGTTATTTTTATTTTTATTATATGTTTATAAAACTAAACAATATATGTGTTTTTATAATTATTTATTAATTATAATGATTGGTTTTAAATATTCAATTGAGTTATCTAATTTACCAACAACAATTGTTTTATCACCATTATTTTCTACTTCTCCAATTGATAAGGTGTAAACCCAATCATCTAATGAATGATCGCAAATTAGCTAAATAAAGTTAATTTTAAAAAAAAAAAAAATAAAATAATGTTAGTTAAGTGATAATATGATTGGATATTTCTGTTTTTTATTATTTTCTATTTTCTATTTTCTATTTAAAATGATAAAATAAAGAGTATAATGAATAAAGTAAAAATCAAAATAAATAATTTAAATATCTTTTAAAATCTGATACAAAACAAAACAAAACAAAAAAAAAATAAATAAAATAAATAAATAAAAAATAAAAAAAAATCTTTAAAGACACAATTTAATAATGTTGTGTATTATGATTGTAGATACTAGTGATTATGTGTGCGAGTGTTTTTGTATGTAATAAGTTTTTTTATAAAATACTAAATATGTAAATCGAAAATAGTAGTAATGATAATCAATAATAATAAATGAATAGTAATGATAAAAAGATTGTGACTGAAAAATGATTGAGCGATTAATGAAAAAAAATTACGATTGTTTTTTATATTAATTTTTTAAAAAAATAAATAATTTATACATACATTCTTATTATAATACATTTTTATAGAGTGAAAATATCCTGTACATATTAATATATCAATATCATCGATATAATTATCATTATTATTACTATTATTATTGTTGTTATTATTATTATTTATTGTTTTATTGTTAATTTCGGAATATTTGATTTTATTTAATAATGTTACTGGGTATCCAACTTGATAATAGGGTTCAATTTTAAAGTCTTGGGTTAAAATATAGATATATCCATTTTCGCAGCCTAATGCAATTTGAGTTGGTGTTGTATTGGCACTGTTTTTATTTTCTCTTGGTGAAAGTTTATCATTACTAGTTATAGAATTTGTAAAATATCCAACCGACATACAGTTTACGGGTGATGGTGTAGGTATAGAGCATAACCTTTTGCCATGGTCCACAATATGTATGAATGGTGCATTTTCGCATATGATAACATAATGAAACTTATTATTATAAATATCGTATCCCTGTACTGATTTAATTTGTCTAATGTGTAATGATGGTTGCTGTAGTTTTAAATTGCTATTGTCGTCAGTTATGCTATTTATATTGTCTTGATCTTTACCTATTATTGATTCTATATTTATATGTGAATTTATTCTTTTTATATCAGTATCTTCCAATGTATTTAATGTTTGATTGATTGTTGGTATTTTAAATCTCCACAATGCATTTTGATGTGGTTTAATTGCTGTTAATAAACCTAAACTATCACCTACAACTAAATTAAAATCACCATCTATTAAAAATAAATAAAAAAAAGTAATCTATTAATATATATATATGGTTATTTTGTATTGTTATATTTATGAATCATACTCGCTAATTGATGATTTATAATTGATGTGATAGAACCATTAATTGTATCTCTATAAAGTATTTGATGGTTTGAAAATATAACCATGTTTCCATTAGAGTCACCAGAAATAACATCAATTGAACCAAATTTAGTTGTATCCAATAGCTCTAAATCCTGGATAGATGAACCTTTAGTCTCCAATACTTCAATCTCTTCGTTATTTAAATATACTTTGATTTTGCCATCAGCTGTTCCAACCAATAAATGTTTATTTGTAGATTTAAAAATTTCGCCAACTAATAATACATTGAATAAATAATCTAATCTTTTTTTATATTTACTAACTAATTTTATATTAAATTTATTGCTTTGATTAATGTTGCTATTGGTTTTATTGCTACTGTCAACATTGTTATTATTTACATTAAAGTAATCCATCTTTAAATATTTAAATTAAAAATATTAAAAAAAAAATAAAAAAAAAAAAAAATTTTAATTTTTTAAAAATTCAAAATCAATTTTTTTTTAATTTTTTACTTTTTTTCATATCTCATTTATTTATTTATAAATATAATAATAAATATAATAATGTAAATTTAGCAATATTGGGATAAACATAGCGCTAGGTCTCTACTATTTTAGTATTTACCCTTCAAATAAAAATTTTAATGTAATGTCCATACATATTTGAAAGGTAAAAAAGTGGGTGTTTGAAAAAATGATAACAATATATAATATAATTGTTATTGTTATTTATTTTATCATATATATCAATAATGATACCCTATTTTTTTAACAATTTGCAAAAATAGCCATTAACCACTAAACTTAATAAATTAAAATTTCTATTTGGGGTAAAAAAAAAAAATAAAAATTTTTTTTTTTAAAATTAATTTTTTTTATTTATTTGTTTTATTTTTATATTTGTTTTCAACATATTTATATACAAATTTATATATACATAATTATTGCTAAACTACATATATTAATGTTGATAAATAAAAAACATTTTACTCACTCTCGATAATCTTTTCAATTGAATCTTTAATCAGATTTTTTTTTTATAATAATGGATGTATTATTTTTTAAAGTTTGGAAAAATATATTTTTAAAAAGACTAATATATTTACACTTAAAAAGATTTATTGGTCCAAACCAAAAATTTAATAGCAGAGATGAATATATCAGTCACCCAGAGAGTTACTATTTTACAAATGTTACTTTAAATTATAATGAAATTAATTTAAATTATTTATGTGACTCGATCAAAGTTTTACAATTTGGTCATTCTTTTGATAGAGAGATTAAAGCTGGCTTTTTACCACACTCGATCAAAACATTAACATTTGGTAACAAATTTAATAGAGCTTTCAAAGAGGGTAGTATACCAGAGTCTGTCGAAACACTTTCTTTTGGCCATGACTTTAATACTCTACTTAAACCGGGTGATGTTCCGCGACTGGTCAAAAGGTTAACGTTTGGTGAAAGCTTTAATAAAATTATAAATGAAGATGTGCTTCCGCAGTCCATTACATCACTTACATTTGGTTCTGATTTCAATCAACCTCTTAGTCAGGGCTCTATACCACCTTCGGTCGAAAAACTTACTTTTGGATACCACTTTAATCAGAAACTTCAACCAGGCAATATTCCACCATCAGTTAAAGAGCTGACATTTGGCTTTGGTTTTGATCAAGACCTCAAACAAGGTGATATTCCGGTATCTGTTCAAAAATTAATATTCGGTGACAATTTCAACAAAAAAATTAAAAAAGGAGATATTCCAGCATCGGTCAAGGAATTAAGATTTGGTGATAATTTTAATCAAGAACTTGAAGCGGGTGATCTCCAAGATTCTATAGAGATATTGGTATTTGGTGGTCTAAACAAGCCACTTAAGCCAGGTGTTATCCCACAATCAGTCAAAAAACTATCGTTTGGTTCCTTCTTTAATCAGATTCTTGAGCCAGGTGATATTTCGACATCTGTTAAAGAACTGTCTTTTGGTTACTATTTCAACCAACCAATTAGATCGGGTGTTTTACCTCCATCACTCGAAATCTTAGAGTTTGAATCCGATTTTAATAGAGAACTTTTAACATTCGACACTTCATCAGTTAAAACAATTAGAATTGGTAATAAAAAAATAAATTAAAAATTACTCATAAAATTTGCAAAAAAATTGGGAGTTCATAAATCAACAGTAGCAAAAACATTATATATAAAAAGAAAGTTGTAAAAAAAATACAAATAAAATTGTTTTAAAACGGAAAAAATATTGTGCCAATATTGTTTATTTTTTTTTTATTTTAATTTTTAGTAAATAACCTAATATCTTGTAATATGATTTATTTAAAGGGTTCTTATTTAAATATAAAACATGACAGAGTATTTCAATAATTATCATTTCCATCTTAATAAAGTATGGGGTCCACATATTTATTCTGGGCGCTGTATTATTTTTTTATTTGTTATTTATAACACGAATTATTTTATTACATTTATAAATGATGATAGGTTAAGCAACAAATTGTCTTGGTTAGGTGCGAAACCAACATTTTTAAAGAATGAAAAAGTAATTGATGGGAATGATATATGTTGACCCAACCTAATTGAATCATAAATAAAATATGATTTACCAATAAAAATTATTTTATGAAGAACCCTACAGTAATTTATCTTTAATTTTTAAAAATAAATATCACCTTTTTTTTTTTTAATTTTCCCATTTTTTTCTTTTTATTTTTTTTATTTTCATAAATTTTTTTTTAAAAATTTATCAAAAATAAAATTTTTTATATCAATAAATAATAATTAAAATTATGTTTATTAAAGTGAATTTAAATTTTAATATTGATAATAATGGTGAATTTATTAATAATGATGTATTGTTTAAAAAGGTTTGGGGTAATAAATATATTAGAAATATTATTTTGGGATTTTTTAAAGAGCAAACAACAAAAGAAAATATTTCACAATTTATTGTTTGTAAATACATTGATTTACCTATCCAGCCAAATTTTGAAAATATAAAATTAAAAATTTGCCATTTAAATACAAGCGATATTATCATCGCAGAATCTATAAAGAGACTAGTTTTAGATACCAATGCCACCCTTAGTTTTCGTAATTTAATTATACCACAATCACTCACCTATTTAAATTTTGGGCAAGCATATAGAAAATTTGTTGATGTACCACTAAAACATACCAATATAAAGACATTGGTTTTTAGTGACGCTTTTAATCAAGAACTAAATGAAAATCTAGTACCTTCAAATCTTACATCTCTAATATTTGGTGATAAATTTAATATGGTTATACCAAGTTCGGTTTTGCCGTCATCTTTAAAACTCCTCATATTTGGTAAATATTTTAATAAACCCATAATACCACATTCACTTCCAGACTCTTTAAAAACACTCCAATTTGGTGATTGTTATAACAAAATGTTTCTTCCTGGATCCTTGCCCTCATCAATTACAGATCTTACTCTAGGTAAAAATTTCAAACTCCCTTTATACTATCAAGAGAATAATGGTATAATTCATGCAAACCTCAATCTCTTACCCCCGCTCCTCAAGTACATTACTGTTGGTAAATCTTGCCGACTAAAGGACATTTTATCAAACTATACAAACCATATATCATTATTAAAATTAAATATAACTAGGCCTATTCGTTGTGACACCCTAACATCTTTAAATGTATCAGAAATAATATTTGGTCCTGGCTTTGATAAAGAAATCCTTCCAAACACACTACCCAATACCCTCACATCTATAACTTTTAGTCCTGGCTTTGATAAACAAATCCTTCCAAACACACTACCCAATACCCTCACATCTATAACTTTTGGTCCTGGCTTTGATAAAGAAATCCTTCCAAACACACTACCCAATACCCTCACATCTATAACTTTTGGTACAATGTATATTAAATTTGATAAAGAAAATGCTATTCCAAACTCAGTCACAACTTTAATATTCAAACCAACACTGGAGGAATTCCCTTATTATCACATTTATATGCAAGCAACACCTTCTGAAGATTTCATAATATATGAATACAAATTACCATCAATTACAAGTATCACACTACCCAAATATTTTCAATCTTATATTCGATTTGGAAGAAACAAGTTTTTAAAAGATACGGGAAATAATTGGATTTTAAATGCCACAGTCGTTGATGGTATTGTTTATTCGACATATAAAAAAAAACAATAAAATAAAGTTTTTATTATTTTTTTAAAGGTTTCACTTAATTATTTTTTGTATACCTAACACTTATCAAAAAATAATAAAAAACATTGCAAAAGACCAACAACAACTTTAAAAAATATATTTTTAAAATAAATTTAATTTTATTTTATTTAAATATTTTAATAGAAGAAACCAAGGAGTTTACCACCAGTGTGACTCTTCTTACATTCTTCATGATCCATGATACCAAGTGAGGTGGTAAGGACGATATGACCGAATTGACGGGATGGTAATAAATAACTGGCCCATTTTTCGATTTCATCGAGGGTAACGTCGAATCTTGGTGAGATGACACCACATTTGTTGATACGACCGATTAATTCGATAACGATTTTACCTGAACGATGGTCATCAATGATTTCGAATTCACCGATGTATCTCTTTTTCATCATAACTTGGAGGAATTTGATGATGACCTTTGATGATGGTCTGACTAAGACTTGTGATTTACCTTGTCTTTCGGCATTGACAATGGAGTTTAAGCAATCGTTTAAAACACTGATTCTGACCATTTTGTATCTATAATAAAAAAAATTGTTAGTATGAGAGCGATTTCATTTTTTATCATCACCTAACTATTTCTTTTTGTTGAAAACAAAAATAATAATTTAGTAAATAATAAAATGATAATGAATGATCACTCCTATCCCCAAAATAAAAAAAGAAAATTTGCACCCAAAAATAATATGGCCAAATAAAAAAATAATATGGTTTAAAAATAAATTTTAAAATTAAAAAAAAAAAAAATAAATAAAAAATCTCTAAAATAAATATAAACCTTTGTCGAATTGGTGTTTTTTTTTATATTTATCCTCTTTTTTTTATAAGTTTACTCTTTTTTTTTACGAATATTTTGAATTATTGTTTAATTTTAAATTTTTATTTTTAATTACCGTATTACTACTTTGACTTGGCAGATGATTATTTTTTAACCCTCTTCGATTGCAAGAGGCTTATATTTGAGTGCAGATTAGATATCCTTTTTAATTAAAAGAGATAGGAGATATTGAAATAAACATTATCATCCTACTGTACTATATCATTATTTATTGTCTATGACCACAAAAATTTTTGGGTAATAAATAATAAATAAATAACAAAGGGTGTATCTTTACCTGTTTCAAATATAAGATGTTTGAGAGGTAGAGGAAAAAAAAGAAAAAAAAAAATTTTTGATAAAAACGCATGGTGCGGCAAAAACCGTGAAAAAAAAAAAAAAATTATTTTTTAAAAAAAAAAAAAATTTATTTTTAAAATTTTTTTTTTACAAAACGACTTACAAAGGTTTTACAAAGAAAAATAAATATTCACAAAAAAATGAATAGTTTTATTATTATTTCTTTAAAAAAAAAGAAAAAGAAAAATTTATTTATTTACATTTATATTATTTGAGGTTTTTTTAAGGGTATATTTATTATATTTAACAAAATTGGTATTATTGTTATTTTATATGTGGACGCAAACACATATTTTTTTTGTTTTTTTTTTACATATTAAAATTTGAAATCTAATAATCTTTCATTGAAACGATTTCAATATCACTTTTTTTAATTCTTTTTGGGGTACCTCTACCATTTATTTTCATAGTTTGATCCATTGGTACATATAAATCATCATCGTTTTCATTTTCATTTTCCTCATTATCCTTACTTGCCGAATAAAATTCAGAGTCATGAATCGATGGTGCTAATCTTCTCTGATTTTTAATTCTTTCCATAATATTTTTTGATAAATCGTTTTCCTCAATATTACGTGATGAACCGTACCCTTCTCTTAATCTTTCGATTTCTTCAAGTCTATTTCCTAATTAAATAAAATTTTATATTATTAATATATAATTTAAAATATTATTATAATAATAGTGTTATTTAAATATGTACTTGAATACTGTCTAATTTGGAATGAAAATATTCTGTTTGTAGTTAAAAGATTCTTCCTAAGAAACATTTTATATTGGGTTTGGTAAAGTTAAAACTTAAATAATAATTTAAAAAAAAAAAAAAAAAAAATTAAAAAAAAATTAAAAAATAATTTAAAAAATTATATAAAAAATAATTTAAATTTTTATTTTTTTTAATTTCATAAATATATTAATTTTTCTTTTGTTAAAAAAAATAGTTTTTTTTTTTTTTCATAATCATGTGTTCCTGATTTTCTTTTTCCTTTATATGTGTAAAAAACTATTTAACTTCAAATAATGATAAAAGACAAAAAAAGAATTGTTTGGGAACCCCCACTTATAATCATATTTTATTTTTTTTAATTTAAATTTTAATTTTATGTTTTTTTTTTTAAAATTTTTTCATAGTTTAAAAGAAATTTTTTTTTTTTTTTCTTTATTATTTTATCAACACACAAATAATAATATAGCTTTAATAATTGCAATAATTTTTTTTTTTGATAAATAATTTAAATTTTTATATTTTTAATTAATCAGTTTTAAAAACAATCATTCATTCAGACGTTATAATGGATAAAACTAGTGTTTTTGACAATAGAAATAGAAATAAAAATAGTAGATATAAAAATAAAAATAATACAAGTTATAATAGTATGAATAATAAGAATAATTATAATTTATACAATAGTAATAAAAATGATAAAAATAAAATGGATGAGGACCAAATATACTATGATTTAGATGAGGGTTATCACTCAAGTAATAGTAAAGGTAGTGTTGGTTCCAACAATCAAGATTATAAACTAGCTAGTAATCAAAATAAAATGTTTTTTAGCAACAAGAAAAAATGGTTCTTTTTTATATTTCTTTTCATATTAGCAGTATATTTTTTCAATAATAGTAAAAATAACAATAATATTAAATTAATAGATGACGACAAGTTTGAAAATTTCTTTTCAAATTTAAAATTTCCTAATAAATACGGTAAAATAGGCGATACAATTAGAACTCACATATATATAAACAATATTAAAAAAGATAAAAGACCGATTAGTATTCTTATTTCAAGTAAAAATAATACTTTGAACGATTTAATCAATTATTTTTACTCATTCAATAATCCACTAAACTTAATAAACAATAGCATAGATATAGACTATATTTTAGTATTCAATCAAAATGAAAAGTCACAATCCATTAGGGATAAAATCAAATATCAAAAAAAAAATAAAACAACCTCAAATATTTATATTTTCAAAATCGATACTAGTCAAATAAAAAGTGGTTCAATCATTGACTTTGGACCTATTGAGGATATTATTGATGGGTCATCCGAAATAAATGTTTCTAGAAATAATTTATTCTTATTTTTATCAGATGTGGGTCAAACCAAAGAGATTGATGATGATGAAAAAAAAAGGGAATTTATTATTGGAGAATCAAAACTAATTTTTCAGCACAGATTTTTACACAGGATAAGAAGCACACTTTCAATTCAATAAAAAAAAAATCAATTAATGTAAATATCATAGTTTTTATAAAATAAAAAAAAGAAAATAAAGAATTAAAAAAAAAAAAAAACTGTTCCGCGAAAATTTTTTTTAAAATAAAATAAAATAAAAATATCTTAATAAAGATTTATTTATCTAGATTAAAAAAACATAAAAAAATATTTTTATTATTTTTATTATTTTTATTATTTTTTTCTTTTTTTTTTTTTTTTTATTTTTTGGATGGTTGGTTTGGATCAATACTGTGTCAATTCCTCATTCCTTGAAACCGATTGGTTGTGTTATTTTAAAAAAAAAAATTTCATTTTATTCCGCAGTATTTTTTATCAACTCGCTGATCATTTTTTTTTTAAAAATAAAACTTTTTTTTATTTTTTTTTTATTTTTATTTTTTTAAATAATAAAAATATTTTAATCCCATTATACCATCTTATAAAGGAAAAATATTTAAAAAAATAAACTCAAGTAAATATATCCTCCATATTTTTATTTATTTTTTTTAAATTAAAATATTTAATTTATTTTATTCATACACTTTATTTTACATCTATATAAAAAAAATTAATTAATTAAATAAACAATTACTATTTATATATTTTTCATACTTAATTTACCCTCTCCATAACCCATCTTCTTCCAAAACAATTATAAGAAGGATTTGGGGGGGGGGGA